GTCAGCTGAGTTGTGCTTATTGTCGCGCTTTATCGTCGATCGCTACTTTCCGGCATACACAACGCCTATCAAGAAGGGTACTTATTACCGAATCGTACTGTACTGAACTGTACTGTACCGTACCGCTCAGTGGAAATGAGCCATAGGTTTGCTGGAGATCGCAGTGGGGGGTGATTTCCTGTATTGTCTTTTGATGTTTTCGGTAAGTGGTCACTTCTGAGGCTGTGTGTAAGATCACCACATTTAAGGACTGACCACTGAATGCCTATAAAATACAATGTATGCCTGCCTTAGTCTGCAGGTCCACACAGGACTTTGTCAAAAAAGAACCAACTTAAAGATACACCAAGAGTCTCCTTGTCTTTGCTTCTGGGTTTCCTACAAGGGCCAACGGCCTGTAGAGTTTAGCTCCAACCTGCTCAAACAACCTGGCTGAAAGTTTCTAACAGAGGTTCTGAAGACCTTGATTAGTTCAGGTGTGTTTAATTAGTGTTGGAGCTAAACTCTGCAGGACAGCGGCCCTCCAGGATTAGAATTGGACCCCCCTGTAGTAAGGAGTTGCTTCGGGGAAGGTGAACATCAAGAAAGCAGCAAGAGCAAAAGTGTCCTGTTACTAAACTTGTTCAAGTTGTAAAATGTTCACAAATTATGCATAACACAACAAAAACAAAGCTTAAACAACTATGGCCATATTCTCTATACTGGGGCAGCCAACCCTTTCAAAAAGTTTAGCTCCATCCGTAATCAAAAACACCTAAACTAGCTAATTAATGTCTGCAGGAAGGAAGCCCTCCAGAGTCAGGGCTGTCTAGCTTTGCTCTATACCAATTGCAATTTCCTCATTGCAGGAAGAGACCTCTGGATGATGCCAATATGTTGCCCTGTTCCACTCAGAAGGATCTTATTTCTTAAGTACAGATTCATTACAATGCTCAGTCTAGGCTTGCCACCAAGACCAGGGACCTCAGCCATCTGTCAGTGCATCCTGAGCTTCCTGACAGGTGGTGAGAGTGGGCATCCAAACATTTTGGCATCAGGACTTGCAGAGGGTGTTGCAATCAGATAATTGGCTTTTTTTCAATGCTGCAGTCAGCAAAAAAACAAAACAAAACAAAACAAAAAAACTGCAAAAAGGAACAAGAGGTATTACTACTCTCCTGTCACACAGATCTTTAATGAAGATTTATGAGGATTCCTACCAGGTGCTTGCATAGTTAACAATGCAACAACCCATTGTCTTTTAATTGCAAGGAGCTTGCAGGAAAAATCCGTTATTGTATCAGATAAGCATGTAATACAAACTCTCTAAATACAAAAAAATAAAAAGCTCATATTAGTGTTTTGCCGCATGTTTATCTACTCTTACCTTCCTCTTCCTCCTCAGTCTTTAAAGCCTCTCTGGAGTACATGGCTCGCCTCAAGTTTTTTCTTTCCAGCACCGTCATATTCTCATCTACTGTCTCCTGGAACACAAAATAATGGAGAACAGCGTATTCTGTTTAGTATATTTGGCTAGTTAAGTAGCATAAATCAAATGTCAATTTCATTCTTTTTATGATTTGTTTCCAATTCTTTGCCTGAGTATTTGGGTTTCTGAAAAGATCCACTGAATAATAGTGGCCTGAGATGACCTGTTCTGCAAGAACATCCTTACATCCTCCTACACATGTTGAAAGATCTGAGCCTATAATGAAGGAGCCTATAAAGAACATCTGCAGGTAGTTTTGTAAGATATTCCATGTAGAAGATGAACAGGAAGGGGCCCAACACAGTTCCTCGAGGTATGTCCTGATGCTTAATGTATTTTTTAACACAAAAGGACAGTTCAATGACCTGATTGGAGGCTGTGTTGGCCACTAGATGGCATATTAGACACTTTTTTGGAGACTTGAGTTTATTACAGTCCCTGTTTTGTCTATTTAGGTCCCATTTTACATGCATTCTCTTCTCAGTGTATCCACTGTGTCCTGTCTTTTTGATTTCCGAGCTTATATTTTGTCAGCATAAACATAGAGATTACTTTTCCAATCTCTCAAACAATGCAAATGAATGTCAACAAAAAGGTCAACTGAATTTGGCATTACAAAGCAAAACTAATGAACTTGCCCTTTAAATCACTTCCTCTACTATCTCATTAACTTTCTGAAGACTACCTTCTCAAATTCTTTGTCTTGTCTGTGCATTAGAGTCTTCCACTGCTCGAAGAGCTCAGGCTGAGAATTTTGGATGTCCTTTAACGTCCCTTCTGTCTGTATGCTGCCATCCTTCATTGCAATGATCTACAAAAGAAACAACATTCAATTATTACTTCATTTGCCACATATAAGATGGTGGATATTTTTAATGCCCCATGAGAAGTAAAGCCAATATTTAACAGCAAACCTGACCCTTTCTATCTGTCAGCTTAAAGTGACTATGTCTAAACAACAGGGAGTTAAAAAAACTCTTGTCTGACCACTGGTGATTTATTTAGTACCAGAAGGAGGAAGACTTTAACAAGGCAATTCATCACCCAGAGCCAGTTTGAGAGAGACTGGGGCTGTATTTATTTCTTATAACAAGGCTGATGATAACAACAAATCGACTTGAGAATTACAATTTCATGAAAATGTTTTCTCTGGTTGGATATTTTGGGTCAAAGCATTTGGAACTATGCATATTTACTTTTTAATGAACTAAAGAAATGTTTGCAATCAAACTATATCTAGGAAACAAACATATCAAAACTTTTCCAGTAAACATATCTAAACCACCTTAAAACAAAACAGATTTACTGTGTACGATCTCAAGGTGTTTTCAGGGAACATATCTTGAGGCAAGGAAAATAATTATAGGATAATTATAGGAGATTCTCACATTCTCATACATCTCATCCACTTCTAATGTAACTTCTAAGTTAATTTATCATTTTATTTTAAATAAAGTAATATCCTAGGTTAATTAAAAATTAATCACAATTGACCACACCTATGACATGTTGATTAGCACAAAGTATTAAAAAAAATAAGATTTGTGTGTGTGTGTGTGTGTGTGTGTGTGTGGTAATCAACATATGCCACAAATGCTGTCAATTCAGCTTAACTTGTACTGAACCTGCAATATTCTTTTAAAGTAGAAGTAAAAAGTAAAATAGTGCTTCCATTCTGGAAGAGAGAAATTGAAAGTAACATATGTAGTTACTTTTATTAGAAGCAATGCAAAAATGTAATGTCTCACTTTTTTAAAAGTAGTGTTTCCTGCTACTGAGCTTAAAATGTAGGAGTTTGGTGCATTGTAAGAAGTGTTTCCTGAGAGACATGTCTGAGTACAGCATTTGTGCCTATTACATCTTATAAGGTGTCTGAATGTGGAACATTTCTTGTTGGTGAAAAACAAAATCAGGTTAGGAAAGAAGAGAATGATTTGCTTATTCTAAACCTGCAGTGACCTTATTTTGGTTGAACGGCTTTGGTTTGGTTGGCAGTTTGATTTCTCTTATTGCAAACAGTGGCCAAATGGGAATTGAATTAGATTTTTCTGTTGACCAGATGGTCTATTTTACTCAATGTGATCTATAATGAATCGTGTTAGTAGGATTTGCAGGTGAAAACATGACAGAAACCAAATTAATTCATCCTTTAGAACAGGCTTGTATTGGGCTATAAATTAAACGCATTCCTACAGAAATAATTTCTGAGGGCTCCTCAGAAATGATTTCTGTAGGTTCTGTGGGTAGACGACAGGTGATGAATGAAGGTGAATAATTCATAAGTATAGCTCAGCCTTTGTGAGATTTGACTTTTAAATTAGGCTTCTACATCTCAGAGCTCACCTTTTGCTTTTTCTCTTTCCAATACAACAGAGTAGGCCTGGGCGATAAAACGGTATCGATATTTATCGACGGTACACCTTCTTTGATAACGGTATAAAAAATGTTCGATATAGCGCACGATATAGGCACGTGCTATGAGTGACGCAGACAGCACACACAAACACGAACAGATGCTGAAATGAGTGCTATGCCTGCCTGTGATGAGGAGATTGTGAATAAAAAAATGAATATTAGTCGAATTTAAAATAAACATTTGCATTTGAATGTTAGGAGTGCATCAGGGAGCGTCATTAGTGGCGCGCGAGATGCGGTGATGATGATGTAAGCAAAAGTTCTTTGATGTAAGTGACATTGTTTCATTTGAATGTTTTGTTAGTCTAGCCCACGAGACGCGCCGCTGCTGCGTTATTCATTCAAAATATTAGAGAAATATAGAAGCTCAATGCGGAGAAGATCTTGATTAGGTTAAAACCGAAACCAAGCCATTCACACAGAACGCATATTCAGCGTATTGTTTAGACGGACAAATGACTGCTGCACTCGCGTCTCTCACAAGAGATGTATAGAAAGCCATGCAAAGTTAAAACAGTTTAAACTTTTAGAAAACACGTCACGAATTTGTGGAGGTTTATTCCTTTTCACTGCATCTCATGTTTTTAAATGCAATCTACGTGAACGTTGCTTCGGCTCTTTGGATTAAGCAGTGCATAAATACATGATGCGGTTTTGTTCATAATTGTTTATGCAATTTACGAAATTAAATGAGATTTTTATGAGTTAATTTAGACGTAATGCACGTTTTTTTATAGACAGATATTTCCTTGTGTTGACAATTTAAATGTGCTGCATTATTTTGCTCATTGCGCCCTCCTGTGGCCTCAGGATGTCAAAAGTTTCCTTAACATTAGAAATTAGATATTTGTTTAATTATTATTTTGTGTGTGATTGTTAAACAAAAAACTTTAACATTTTGTTATTTGTTGTTTGTCTCAATAAATTGGGTTAATTTAAAAATACAGTGGTTAAATAAAAAAAAAAAATTCTATTGCTCTTTGTTTAAAAAAAGGTTATAAAAAATGTCAATAATTATCTATACCGAACGATATGAAACATTATATCGTTGATAATTTTTTTAGCTATATCGCCCAGCCCTACAACAGAGAAGAGTCAAAATTCCAAGTCTGCTCTTCTGCCTAATCCTGATATAGCCATCAAAATTCTGACCAACTGGTTTAAATCACTTTCTATAGGGAAAGAACTTTAAATAAGTGTATTTGCATATGAAGTACCCAATCTGCATGTGGGAGATACTGTAGTTTGTGTGTCACGAGCACCACCGTCCTCTTCTCCTCCCTCAGTAGTTTAAGAATGCCCTCCTGCATCAGGTGATCACCCAGGTGAATGTCCAGCGCTGAGAATGGATCATCCTACGATAAAAGAAAAAATTAATTGACGTCTCACTTCACTGATTTGCATGTATAGCTATATCTGGACCTACCAGGAACACCACATTGGTGGCTTGATAAAGAGCTCGAGCGACACCGATTCGTTGCCTCTGGCCTCCAGAAAGAATAATGCCCTGGAAAGAGCAAAGAATAGGAAGAGGAAAGTTACCAACAAGTCTGTATTGATAAAACACCTCATTAGGAAGGGGGCAGGGGGTAGAAGTCGTTAGGGTAACCGTACCGCACACACTTGGCATGTGTATTGATCATGTTGACTGAACTCTTTAAATGAGCTGGAAGACTGCTTTTAGGAACAACCTGAAAGCCATTTACGACATCAGGCTGCCTTAAATGTGACCTGAACTAAATAGCTGAGAGTAAACAAAAGAGACGGTGCCTTTTTAATGGCTGCCTGGATACTGAAACATGAGGAATATGTTATGTATGTTTATCAGTGGAATTCAATATGACCCATCATTACTGAAACTCCACCATTTGCAGTACTAAAGCCATTCCAGATGGCTGGTAATGAAATGCGTCACCCAAGTCACATGGGTGGCACACTGACCCGCTCTCCGATCTCCGTCTGGTCCCCCTGTGGCAGGATGTCAATGTCCGGCTGGAGAGAACATGCTTCAATTACCACTCTGTACCTGGAAACAACAACAGATATGAGACTGAAGCACAGCTGGCTAGTCACTTAATACTATGTGGTAATCTAGCTTTAGTACTTTTTGAAATATTGATGTCGAAATAAAATTAGTGGTTAATAATGAATGACTGATTCTCTGCATGGACTCTGTCAAAAATGAATCTTTGTTAAAGTGTTATGAGCCATGAACCAAGCCAAGTGGGTATGAGGTGAATCATAACATGACAAACTTTGATTTGCAGCAAAAAAGTATTTGAAAATCAGACAAAAATGCAAGTGTACAAGACTGTGTACATCATAGCTTTGATGAGGGAAAGAACTACAATCCCATGAACCATTGCGAATGACATTAATCAAATTAATAATGACAGAGAAATATAAAACTAGTCATTTTAAATATATAAGTATACATATATACACACACACACATACACAAGTGGGTGGAACTAAAAAGCGCTTTTAGCGCATATTGCTTGTTGCGACTCTGGTGGTATTTTTTTACGCACAATTATTTCTAAACAATTATTGCAAGATTAAGTTGAAATTATGCGGCTGACAGCTTCAATAGAAGCAAATACCATTGATTAGCAACCTCAGAGCTGAGATTCTGAGAGTCAAAGAGTGGCAAACAGTCATGAAAAAATAAATTAGCAAAAGAAACTTTGCCCAAAGGTGCAGTAACACTTGCCATTGCTTGGCGAAATCCAGTCATTTCAATAGGAATCTGTATGATTTGGAATTTCACATTTCCCCACACCGATTTTGCATGTTTTTCACACAAATTTGCGGCATTGACGAACAGAAAGGTTTGAAAGTGACTTCCATGTAATCTGTGCTTCATATATTTTTACACTACTGACAGCAGACAATGGACTTTTTCGCCAAAGAATTTTGCTACTGTGAGAGCGTCTTAAAATTACAAGTGGGCTGTAAGCAAATAAATAGATCAATGTACTTTGAGTACAGACACTGCTGACACGTATCAGAGAGACACTTACTGAAGGCCACATCTGTCTAATGACTGTCACTGAAGTTTAAAGAGGCAATAATGATTGAATGTCAGATGGGAATAGAGGACGCTTTTGTATTGACAAATGGACACTAAAAAGAAGAATAAACACTTGACTTTTGTACATCACTAGAGCAACTGGATGCTAGACACAGGTTAATGCGTACAGAAGGCCCATTAGACAGAAACATTGGACCTAGATGCCATATGGTGGCTTTTTTTAAAAGATAAATGTGTGGGCAACAAATCCATGGAGTAAATGAAGGTCAGTTACCTTTGCTTTATTAAAGGCATCTCAAAAGTGATGTTCTCCGCTAGAGTGGTGTTTAGGAGCCAGGGCTTCTGGGAAGCATATGCCACAGCACCTCTTTTCCTGTCAGAGGGGTTGCCATAACATCAGTGACCTCCTTCACAACACCAATGTTGCTCTTAAATATAAAAGAAAGGCTTGTTCAAGGCTGACCTACTCTAAAAAATCATTATTCACAGGAACAGTACACAAACAAATGATAATTATGTCACCATTTGCTGAACCTGAATGTTGTTGTTGTTAACTCATGATGTTTAGATTTCAAGTCAACTTCAACTTGTGCCATATTTTTATTTGAGAACTACAATGGAGGGGAATTTATTTAGTAAATAGCATCTTAAGTTTTTCTTACAGAAAGCTGAAATATATGTACGAGTCATCACTTTTATGTAACTTTTATGTTTTTCCCTAATTGGAGCAGATGTGGTCACTATGAACTGTTGTTTTTTGTGGTGATTACAGTGTTATTTTAGTATCATTTATATACCATTATAGCATTATTAAAAAAAAAAAAAAAAAAGAATTAGCTTTTACTTTTATATTTTTTTTATTTTAATTTTAGTTTAAGGAATTTTGTCATGTTGTCTATTGTTATGAACTGTTGTTACATATGCATAAATAAGTGAAACTTGATCTTATAGTCAATATAGAGCAATACTATGCAGTCTGTTGACCAATAAGATTTCTTTGTGGGCAGGGCTACACAATAGACCGGCAAAATCATTGTGATCACAGTTAGTTAGGACAAAACTATATACAGATACGATAATAATAGTGTAAAATATGCTGGTAAGCAAAAATTAGCCAATCACAATGAATATAATTTACATAAAAAAGTCTTAAAGGCACAGTAGTCAGAGACGATATTATTATTATAATTTTGTCTTTTTTTACGTTTATTTTAACACTTATTTTAATTTTGCTTTAATTGAATTTCAGTATTAATTTTAGTTAATGATAAATACCAAATTGTATATTTGGCATGTCAGATTTAAAATTTCTTCTTTTGTGATTCCCTAGAAACACACACACACACACACACACACACACACACACACACACACACACACACACGCACACT